CAATGACCCTTGGAACCAAGCCAGAGTATATAAAATAGTATATAATAATAGTATTTGTGTAACACAGAAAATTGCTGACAATTATACCTAGATATTTTTTTAAATTCTATTTGTTATCCATATCCCATATTGTTTATAATATGACATTTACAAGTTTAGTAATGCTGTTTACATATAGCAAAGCCAAAATATTTTATAGAGAGTATTTATTCTTTGTTTCAAAGGTATGTCACTATTAAAAGAGAGCAGCATATCAGTTCAAGTTTTAAAAAATTCTAGTTGACTGATGCTTAATACAAAATATAGGACACAAATACAAGTTCTAGTGCCTTCACATTTCATCTTCCTCCATACCTGTGCAAATGAGTATTTATTAAGAGAGAAGGAAAATTACATTGGAAAAAAATGGCTTTGCACATTGTTGAGGTCCCAGTTTATCCTGGGAAATAGTTTGTTTTTTCCCCAAAACATTGCATCAAACTGGCATCCACACAGTGTTTGTGGTGTGACGTACATCACAAAAAGTAACTGCTGATTATCACCACAGAAATTAAGTAAGAAAAACATTCTTAAGAACATGGCTGGCTAAATTTTCCATTTTGTTTGAAAGATTTGTAATTATGGGTTATCTAAAGTGGCCACCAAATAACAGAGCAGCACAACAAATGGCTGCCTGCTCTGTCATACAATTATTTCAGATTCAGTAAGTATATAAACACCAGACTTCAGCATCATCTTTCAAAGAGGAAATGAAACTAGCAAATAGAGTGTGCACTTCAGGGTACAAACGGAGACAGTGGATAGGCAGTGAGTTGCCCTACTGCTCCTAAGCTGCTCTGCAGAACTTTGAAGAAAACACAAGTGCTTCAAAGTTCAGTAGGTTAAAATATTTATTACTTGATTTGTAATAACAGGGTAATATAAAGCACTGCAGAAAATGGCTGTAAAATTGGCAGGAGAAATAATGAACTAAAGCCAAATTCTGACCTGCAGGAAATGGATTCAGTTACACTGACTTCAGGGGAAGTGTATCTAATCACACTGGGTCTGAATTAATCCATAAATCTTTGGCATTGCTTTTGGTGGTAATAGTTTTGTTCTAGTTATTAATAAGATCTGATTCATAAATTCATATGAAATATTTTGTATTGCTTAAAAGCTACAGACCAAATTACTTCCTACAGTAACTCTGGTTTAATTGGTAAAACGGAAAGGTCTAACATGGATTTAATCTTCAGTTAATAACATTTGTTGGTCCTAATAAGTATATTTAGTATCTGTTTTCATCCAAGTTTATTTGAATGTAATATCCATGACTAACCTGAAGTGAAGACTCAACCTGGCTCATTTTAAATCAGGAGAATTGAAATAGTGCTAAGTGTTTGAGCAAGCTGTAAGCTGACCAATGGCACAAGAGCTGTCCAATGGCACAAGAACAATGTAGACCTTTCATATACTTCTATGTTAAGAACAAAAAGTTTATTGAAGAGGTAAAATAACCACATTTCCTGGCTGTCAACTTACAGTGCTTTAGTTGGCCCCACCTTTATAGAAAGCATCTTCTCCACCTCTTTCACTTTGTAGGAATCACGAACATCTCTGAGCCAGATGATTGTACCTCTGTGCTGGCTCTATGCTGAAAGTGGCCTAACTTCTCAAAAAAGAGCTTAAACCATCTCCTTTGCCTCTGTTGTGTGAGCACATTCAGGCCACCCCCATGACTGCTGAATCATAGACCCATAGAACCACAGAACAGCCCAGGTTGGGAAGGGCCTCAAAAGATCATCTGGTCTGACCTTTTTTTGGGGAAAGGGAGCCTAGACAAGATCATCTAGCACCCTGTCCAATTGTATCTTGAAAATCTGTAGTGATGGGGACTCCACCACATCTCTGAGGAGGTCATTTTCCAGTGAATGATTGTTCTCATTGCAAAATATTTCTTTCCTCTATTGAGTTGAAACCTCTCCTGATGCAACTTACACCCATTGCCCCTTGTCTTCTCCATGAGGTTCTTTGTGAAGCGAGAGTCTCCATCCTCTTTGTAGATGCCTTTTAAATACTGAAAACTGGGATGAGGTCGCCCCTGAGGCTTCTGTTCTCCAGGGAGAAGAGACCTAACTCCTTCAAGTCTTTCCCCTTAGACCAGATTCTCCAGCCTTTTGGTCATCTTCGTTGCCTTCCTTTGGACACTCTCCAGTCTTTCTGTGTCATTTTTTAATTGTGGGGACCAGAACTGGACCCAATACTCCAGGTGTGGCCTGACAAGCACTGAGTAGATTGGGCTGATCACATCTCTGTCTCTGCTAGTAATGCTCCTGTGGATGCAGCCCAGGATCTGATTTGCCTTCATTGCTGCAGTGGTGCTCTGCTGACTCATGTTCAGCTTGCTGTCCAACAAGACCCCCAGTTCTCTTTCTGCAAGGCTGCTCAGCCACACGAGTCCTAGCCTATACACTGATTATTGTGATCCAGGTGCAGGACTTTGGATGTGTCTGTGTTAAACTCCACACAGTTCTTGCTTGACCCCTCTTTCAGCCTGTCCGGGTCTCTCCCTGAGACGGCTTTCCCTTCTGCCCACATCACCACCCAGTAAAAGCCATTGGTCACCACCCTCTGGGTGTGGCCTGTGAGTCAATTTCCTACCCATCTTTCAGACCACACATCCAATCTGTATCTTGCCAGAAGTGTTCCTTGAGTTTATGGTTTCATGGATCCGCATTGTGGCTCCGCTCCTTTTCCATCCAACAGCTTAACACCATGACCATGACTGGACGTCCTTGCACTTCCCCAATACCCCAGTCGTTTTGCTAGAATTAAAATTTTTCAGCTTTTCCACTTTTCCACTTCTTTTCATAAATTGACTCTTCATACTCAAGCAGTATTATTGAATATGAAAATTCTTTTTTGAATATATTTCAAAGAAATGCAAACAACTTCTCTTTCTGACTGTATAATCTGCCTTGACAGTGCTGATGAGAATAAACTACATACCGATTATGAAAAAGTGGCAAAATAAGTTGTGGTACTCCCTAAATAATGAGCTAAGAGTGAAATAGCAATGGAAATTCCTTTTCTAACTTGTGGTAGGATTGATCATGCTTGCTTTCTTGCTGCTAGAAATGCTTATGTATGTAAAATGTTGGCTTAAGTAATAGTTTTCATCAATTGCTTCTATTCCCTATATCAGCAAGGTAATTTGCTGTTTTTCTGTTCCCTTCCAGAATGTCATCATAGTAGTTCTAATTCTACAGCTATGAAATGTGACTGGAAGCCACAACAAATGATATTGTTGTGGCATGACATTGTAGAAAGCATTAATGTACTTCTTCTCCCTTTTTTATCAGGCATTTGAAAAAAAAAAAATTTTTGTGTTCTGTCAAAATGTTTTAAAGTCTACTAAAGATTTGTAGGCTAACAATAGGGAGAACTAATATAAAATTACATATAGAATAATTTATTATTTTATGAGATAAAAGGATGACAAAATAATTTCCCTGTAAGTTTGCAATGTCATGTGGAGACTATATATATTTGGGCTTACTTAATTTTCTATTTAGTGACATAATAAATTCACATGTGCCTACATTGTATTTTCATATTGTTCATTAAAGCAGGATTTCTTTTGAGAGAACAATGTAGTACTCAGGAAAACGCACTTTTTCAGCAAAATCGGGCTTTGCAAGTTCATTGTATTCTGATGTTTCTACTGCTCCCCTTTCCAGTGCTATACCTAGCCATTACAGAGGAACTGATTTTCATGGTCATGTCAAACATAAATCAAAGCAGAGCATCAATTTTCTTAAGGTATTTCAGCAATTAGACTGCGAATGTTGACCATTGCATTACTGGTGTTAGATTCCTGCACAGTAATACGCTATTTCCTAATTAAACAACTGCAAAATAATTTAACTGATAGGAAAGGGCACATGTGGATATCCATTAGAGTTATTTGATATTTGGATCCAGCTGACATAAATATGTAATGTAATATGAAGTATTCCTGATGCTCTATGTCTAGATAGTATAAATTTGTCAAAACAAACATATGAGCATGAAAGCTAGATACTTTTCTTACTTGTTTTGACAATCACATTATTAATTCAATGGAATTACATGCTTTCAGGCTTTCAGTGTGTGATGTGTGTCAGTTGCAGGACTCCTAACACCAAACTAAGTTTAAAAATAATAACCTACAGAAGTTTTGATTGTCAAGTTTTGACAGTGTTATTCCATCAATTATTTTTTTAATCACTTGCGATAATAAATATAGTATATGTGCTTCTTGACAAGCCCTGTGCTTTAAACAAACCACAAATTAGTGCTTTTAGATTCCATTTATAAGACTACATCCATGAAACCTGAATATTCAATAACCATAGAGACCTTTCTTTGTCCAATTTAACGCTATTTTATGACTTGATGTAAAAAGTGGAAGCCTATTATCGATTTAAAAGAGCCCTCTATATCAAGCTCCACTTAAGATTTTCTTGTCAGATGACTATCTGGCAAGTCAAATTAATATCTAAAAGTAACTTTTCCAGTTTTAGTTATTTTTAAGAGAAATATATGACCATGTAAGAAGATTAAGTGGTAAAATTATAATGATATTCTAATATGATTGCAACGGGGATTAGTCTTTTATGAAATAAGAGTCTACTTTTCTGTTACAGCACTAACCATTTCCCAAGAGATGTAGAAACTAACCAAAGTCATTATTTCTTCAGAATAGTTGTCCACAAAGGGACTTAGGATTGTAATCGTATTAATTCATGCTTGACCTTCTAATTTGCATACCTAAACTAACATGAAGTCAATCATGAAAGACAAATTGAAGTGTGATGCTATGGTGTCCCTAGGACAGTGAATTACATTTTTTAGAGTATATGTTTCAAAGACAACTGAACCTGTTTCTAAGATCCACTCTTAGAAATGTGCCTTTGGGCAGTCTTTTATCACAACCCAAGTGAAGTTTGATCTTTTCTGACCTTTTACCCTCTTAGGTTACTTCCTGACCTTTTTGGAACCAGTAAACAATATCACTGTAGTCCAGGGGCAAACAGCAATCCTCCACTGCAAGGTAGCAGGAAATCCATCTCCAAATGTCAGATGGCTAAAAAATGATGCTCCAGTGGTTCAGGAGCCAAGACGGATCATCATCAGAAAAACAGATTATGGTTCGCGTCTGAGAATCCAGGATCTTGATACTACGGACACAGGATACTACCAGTGTGTGGCTTCGAATGGGATGAAGACGATAACTGCAACAGGAGTGTTGTTTGTAAGGCTTGGTGAGTTCCTGGCTTTTATAATTACTCAGACTGCTTTATAGACTAGGTATTAGTTTTCACAATAACATAATGAGAAATGAATTTGATTTTTAAGAACAATTCTCAACATGAAATGAAATAAATAAAGCCATTGCCTGGGGCCTCTCCCCCAATGCAGAACTTCTTGTTTGAACTTGATACCCATTTAGTGGTAATAAAAGAAAATACATATAGATGGAAAGGTCTGTAAATATGTAGTGAAGAAAAAATTTTAAAGAAGTGCCAATACAAAGTACAAAAAGGTAACATTTCATTGCCTGGAGTTGTCACTCTACTGCTGAACTCAGTCTGTTAAAAAAAAAAAGAGGAGAAGAATGAGAAGCAGTTTTCTATGTGATGTTCATAGTGTTGGGCCCATCTTTGTGAAATATCACATCTGCACTGCTACATGAAGCCTGGCCTCAAATTCTGCCCTTTGACAGCTGAAGGTACACCACACCTTTCAAGAAGTACTTATATTGCATTTTGGAGACTTAAGCATCCAGCTTGGAAGGCAAACTTTTATATAGTTTGATTCTGAAACAATGGGGGAAAAGTTCTAGAGATATTTTCCTAAATATTTTCTAATTTTGTAATGAAAATTGCTAAGTCCACAGTTTAGTTTGTAGTGACTCATTAAGTGCTGGGTATTGGACCTTGTTCCTGCTGTGACAAAGGTTAAGAGCATGCCCTTGTCATACCATAAACTCTGATAGCAAGGCTCAGGTGGGGCTTATTAAGAGGTAAGTGATGTGTCAAGATAACACATTGTCTTTTTAACAGCCTGGTTTTTTATTACAGGTGATGTTTCCTAACAAAAGTCCACTCAAGTTGCTGCCTGAGCAGACAGAAAATTCATGTGATTTTTATTTGTGGCTTTGAAAATAGCAATATATAATTATGTGCAGGAACGCAGAGGGTTTTGTTTGAATCTTGAGACAAAACTTCCTTAAAGAGACAGTTTCCTTTAGATTGCTATTGACTTTTTTTTTTAATGCTGTTGTCCTTGAGCCAAGCTTGCCAACAATGTTTGCTTATTTTATGTTTACAGGTCCAACAAACAGCCCAAATCACAATCTTCAGTAAGTACTTTTTTGGAAAATTATTTAATGCACTCTGACCAATTTTATTCTGTAAGAATTTAGTATATTGCTTATTTCATATTTCAGATGAGCAAAATACCACAAAGTCATAATGTTTCAACAGTAATTGTTTACAGGGCAAGTATGGGCTGGGAGAGTGGTTAAAAATGAATGGGTAAAATGCTTAGGTTGCTGCGGTTGTAAATTTACCCATGTTATATTATTATAGCTTGAAAAGTCAGATAAAACAAGACTAGAATCCTGTCTTTGCATAGCTAGGTAAAACCTTTGTTTGTGAGTGTCATTTTGCCTTCAGTGGTGATTTGGTGATTTCTGTTAGCTGCCTGGGCTCACTTGCTAAGCCAGTCATAAGGATGAAAACAGATTAGTTCTGTTTCATTGTCATTGCTTTATGTGTTAGTTTTAATTTAGATACCACATATTGTATAATTCCTTGAAATAGATTCTGCAGTTGATCAATTAATGGAGGGAGGAATGCAGTCTGAGGACTTTTTATGTGTTAATGACATAAAATTAGTGTTGGTGATGAACTAATTAAAAATAAGAGTAAAAGCAATTTGTAAAGACACATGAATGCTTTTCAGAAAGCATTGTTGGTCAGTGTTTGTGATTTCTGAACTCCCAACATCTTAAGTGGAAACCCTTTAAATAACTGCAGTGTGCTGACCACTAATCCGTCCATCTTGTATGTACCTCACTCAATCATCTTACATATATCAAAATAATACCCCATGGTACACATTCTTTAATTTGCTATGCACAGAAAGTGTAAATGAATTTAAAGGATTTCACCATTACAGGGATTTAACAAGTTGTTGGTTTTTTTAAAATTGATTGCTAACTACTGAAGATTAAAAACAGCTGTTCATGACAGAGTACAAAAATTGTGATCATTTTCATAACCACTGAAATCCTGCTTCAGATCTTACAGCACTTTAGAAAACTGTTATGCACCTGTTCTACAAAGGGGAAAAATAGTGAGATACCAGGAAGCTGTCTGATCTTTTATGAGATCAGAAGGCAAAGACTGGTACAGGAGACAGCAAACTGAAATATGCATAGTGAAGCACTGAACTGAAGTTCAAAGAAAAGTTCTCAAATGCAGCTGAAGTGTAGCAAGCTCTGAGCACAAGGTGAAAAGCTAGGAACCAGGTTTTACATTGATTAGCTTTTTGTTATTGAGCAGATATTTGATCTTATATCTCTTCATTTCCCTAATATTTCCTAAGCTCTTCTGTACTGAGCATTAACTTACTAATCTTTTACAAATATCAACATAAATAAAAAAATTCCAACTGATAAAGTGAAAAAAACATTACTAGGTGACACATATTTCTTAATTACATGCCCCCCACAAAGTGGAAGTGAATTAAGATTCCCAAGCTATTTTTCATTCTGGTTTTGCCTAGGTTTTGAATGCTTGACTATTCAACCTTTGCTGGTTTTGAACTCTAAGTTAAAATAAAGAAAGAAATAACAAAAACAAAAAAATCCTGTCATTTAGATTATGACACCTCTGGCCTTGTACCAATGGTTTCGGTGGTGGACCTGAAAGCAGTGGTGTGTCATCATTGTTTTGGACCTGCCATTAAAAGGTGAAGAGTACACTGCTGGTAGATTTTTTTTAAAATATCCACTAGATTGAATAGAAAGCTTGAGAAAAACAAGCTCAGGTCAAAGTCCTAGTGAGAAGTAGTGAGGGACTTATCATATGAGATCCAGGAGCTTTCAGGGCTTACAGATCTTAGCTTTGTTGCATGCTTGGTCCTGTTTCAATCTTTTTTTTCTTTCCTACTTAACCAGGTTTTGCCCACCTTTCTGACGTTCCTGTTCTTCCTTTGATACTGTCTTTCTTTTTTTGTCTCTTCTTATGTCTCACAATTATTCCCATGTCCGTCTGCTCCATGCCTCCTACCTAGTCCTTCAAATAAAATGCCGTAATTTGGCAGTATTATTTTTTTCTTTTCAGAAGCAGATTATTATTTTTTTACTGAATATTTTGTATAAAATTGTGCGGGTCAATTTGTAAGCCAGAAAGGAGGAAAGGGGAAAAAGGCGAAAGAAATACCTAACTGCTTGGAAGGAGCCCGCATGGAACAAAGGGTTCTTTCTCTTTGTTGGCTGCACAGCACAGTCTCTCGTGTTGAGCCACCTGAGAGCTGTTTCTCCTGGCATTAACGCTTCCAAAAAGGCACGCTTCACTGGAAGTGCTGAAACCTGAACCCATTGTAACTTGGTTTAAAACTATACCTAATGAATTATAAAGGGATAAAAGACATTACCTATGTAGATACCATCTAGCAAGGTATTTTTATGCAGTCCATGTGTTCTGCAGTGGATTTCTAGAAATTGTCTACAATTAAAGATTGCCAGAGATCAAATGTGCATTATGCAGTCAGACTTGCCAGTGCAAAAAAAGGCCCTGACCTTCAGGTAGTGAAATTGAGATTTTTTCCATAAAAATCTAAAAGTAAAGATTTTCAGCCACCTGCCTAGTCTTAAACTGGTGTGGACTTTTTTTGACAGGGTGGAGAGGTCTGTATTTTCTGTGGAAGTCTGTAATATGTAAAAATTTTCTCTAGAAATGGAAAAATATAATCTACCCCAATTACTTTATTTATCAAAAGTATTAAAATTATTGAAAGTATGAATAGCTAGCACAAATTAATTTATAAAGGAAATAAAATGAAAACACAGTCAGAAAACTAGTTTCTGACCAGCCTTTGTTGTCCAAAGGACTGTGCTACTAGAGGGCTATTCTACTAGAGGACAAGCCAGCAGGCTGTATCCTTTCTCTCACTGTGTAATGCTATTACTTTTTGTATCATTAACCTTTTTAGCTTTTGCCCTTCTAAAGAGAGACATCCTGTCTGTTCAGAAAGGTAGGAGTGTGTAGAAATAAAATAAATGGGTAGCAAATACTGGAGAATTTTTTTTTTAGCATGATTTAAAATTAAGCAGCACATGTTAATCTATTGGAGTCTAAGAGTGGGAGGGAAGAAACAGTTGTTTTCCTTTCTAGTGGTGTTGCTCTTGCAAGATAACATCATTCTAAAAGACTATGTGTTCTCTAGTCCAATGTATTTTTTTTTTAATTGAACTGATAGATTGAATTTTACCTATTGGGCAAATTCCCATTTTGAAGCTGTTTAGATTTCTTATTAAGGCTGTGACTGTGGTGGTGCCACCTTGAAGGGAACTTGGGATGGAAGATATCCGAGAGTCTGTTGGCTCTAAGGGCTTCTGGAAAATCTGATGAGGCTTTAGCAGAAGTGACGAAGGCACAGCAGAGTACAGGCAGAAAGAAGTAGCTGTAAACTCAGCCCTTGCCAAGTGTAGGTGAACAGAACTGGCTCTGTTACCAGTGGTGCTCTTTTCCCCACATGACCTTTCTGCAGTCTACTCAGGATGCCAGGAGGTGAACATCTCCTTTCAGAACCCTGCACAGAGGAACCGGGCTTTCTAAGAAACTTTGAGGAGTCCCTGTTTTATCGAACTCTGACTAAGATCAGTTCTGAGTTTGCAGTCACTGATGCCTGTATGCTGGACACTTAGAAGGAGAAATAGGTAGGAAGAAACACTGTCATCAAGTAGAAATTGTCATTACTTTGGGGAGAAATTTTTGAGGTATAATCATTCAGAATAAATTTTCCTGCTCTCATGCCTTATTTTCTTCAGGTAGTTTGGGACAACAGTAAAAATTTTAAGATTCAATCCATTGAAGAAAAGTGATGAAGCAAGTGTAGTTGAGGAAAAGCAGTTCTTTCTAACAATAGAAAAGAGAATGTCTTTAAAAACTAGTATCATGTCAGAGTTAAAATTCTGGTGAGGAACCCTGAAGCTACGGTGGGCAAGTAATTCTCTATGGGTCTGCATATCCCATGGCTTTTATCATAAAGCCAAATTGTATCTCTTCTGTCACCCCAAAGCAGACCTTCTGCATGATGTGATGGGCACTCATACAGCTTTATGATGGGGGCAAATATGTTTCTATTATGTGATAAATCTCCACATAAATATAAGGTGGAAAAGGGAATATGGGACCTTGGGAAAGAGGGTGCAAAGGAGTGGGTCATCAGAGCACTTCATCGTGAGACCTCCTCCCTGCCTGTGACTGGGGTCTTCTGGGTAAAAGACAGTAGCTGCGGAGGCAAATAGTTTTGTAAACTGGATCTGTCTGGCAAACCAAAAGTATCCAACATCACATTAAAAAGGAAGAATACTTTTCCTTACTGTCACACAGCAGCACCTCTTCATCCTTTTTTCAGGTGGCGTGGCAAATACTTTTTAGTCTCAGTGCATTTCAGCTACTGATAACATTTTTTAGATTATCTTAAAATTCACATAAACAAATGTTTTTATAACCAATACAACGTTGTCTCAACTCAGAGTATTTATTCAGGCCTACAAGGACCAGGTGTTTAATCATGGGTCTCCTCCCATGCATGCCTTTTGTTTCACACTTGGCTGAGATGACCATATTTGAAGTATATGTATTTTTCTAAGATATTTGTGGTAACATGTTGAAGTTACAGAATAAGCGCATACTTTGTGCTCTGGTTTCCTGTTTTAATCAAAAAAGAAGAAGGATTTTGTGATTAAGATGCTGGACTGTAATTTTAGAGGTCTGGATTCGATTTCTGGCTGTGCTCCTGTCTCTATTTGCGATTGTAGCCAGTTGTTTAGCTTTTGTCTCTCCATGTTTTGTACATCAAATGGAGATGGTCGATCTTGGGAATTTTTTGCCTTCCTCTATTATGGGTTCAGATCGCTTCAAAATGTTTAGGGTATATTCTCTCCCCATAAAGCACGGAATGTTATTCCTATTTTACGAATGAGGAACTGAGGCGCAGATTATCTCAGGCTGGTTTACATTAAACAGCATGTGTTTGCATTGGCAGATTTCCTGGCTTCCTGACAATCCAATTTGGGGATCTGGCTGGAACATGTTGCAATTCCCCCTTAGCCCCTGTGTGTCAGTTTTCTTTTTTCTTGCAAAGGTTGGGGGAGAGGCTGTATTTCACCCTGATGTGGGATTGG